CATGAACAAATGGCTCAGAGGACATCATCCTTGGATCATACAAAACAGATCAGAGACTTCAAATCCCGCAACATACACCCACAATCAAGTCTGACACTCCACATGCTGAAAAATACACCAGGTGGTAGACAAAGTCCACAAAGAGATCAGAGGATCCAGCATTTTAGCTTCAAATCTCTCTCTGACCTCTGCTTCTGCCGTCACATCAATTTTTGTGACTCTACTTCCCTCATCACATGCCCCTCCTTGTCTTGACATACATAGTCACTTAGTCTTTTCTGATCTTGAAGTTTCAGCCTTCCTCCTATAATGACCCTTGTGATTACAAGTGGGACCTCCTAGATCAGGGGTGGGGGACCTTTTTTCTGCCAAGGGCCATTTGAATATTTATAACATCATTTGCGGGCCATACAAAATTATCATCTTAAAAATTAACCTGCTAGCCCTAGCTGGTTTGGCTCAGTGGATAGAGCGTTGGCCTGTGGACCAAAGGGTCCCAGGTTCGATTCCGGTCAAGGGCATGTACCTTGGTTGCAGGCTCCTCCCCGGACATGAGGGGCTCATGCAGGAGGCAATCAATTGATATGTTTCTCTCACATCAATGTTTCTCCCTGTCTTTCCCTCTCTCTAAAAATCCATGGAAAAATATCCTCGGGTGAGGATTAGTAACAACAAAAGATATTAACCTGCTATGTTTGGTCAAACATTTAATTAATTCACCCCTAATGTCTTGGCAGGGCCAGACCAAATGATTTCTCGGGTCTTATATGGCCTCGACCCGGATGTTCCCCACCCCTGTCCTAGACAATCCAGGATAACCGCCCATCTCAGGATGCTTGCCTACTATGTATCTGCCAAGTCCCCTTTTCCAGGTAAGACAACATATTAACAAGTTGCAAGAATGCAGTGAGGACATATTTGGTGATCCATTATTTGAGCAAACAGAACACACATACACACAAAAAATAAACATCACATCCTGGGACATACATCCATGAAGTGCTCAAGGACTTCACGTCTGGAGTCATACACCTCCCAAGAGATCAGAGACCTTCCACCCTGAGACATACGTACAGAAGATGAGAAAGCCATTCTGGGACATTTACCAAAGAATGCTTAGAGCCCTCACACTCTGGGAATTAAGCCCACAAAGACATAAGAGAACTCACTCTCTGGGACATATACCCCACTAAGAGACCGGGGACCCACATTCTAGGACCCCCAAACAGACTAGATTTTTGACTTTGGGACATATTCACACAGAGAGCAGGAAAAAGCGCACATTTTCTGACATACACACAAACAGATCTCACAGACTGGGACATAACCACATAGAGAACAGACCTCCTTTCTTTTACAAACACACCCAAGGAGAATGCACACTCATATATGTGAAATACAAACATAAACAGATCAAAGATCTGATCTGAGAAATACAACCCAAACCACACCAGATACCTCCAATCCTGTAGCATGAACCAACAAAGAAGTTACAACCCTTACATGCTGGTAAATTCAGCAGATAAATACAGATGCCTGAAATCTTGGGGTGTACAGACTCAGGGAGATCAGACAGCTCAGATCCTGGATATACACCCACGAACAGAGATCCTCCCAGAAACAACATGCACGGAAATGCACCCAGAAACATATCACAGAGCTGTCAATGTGGGACACGCACCCACAAACAGATCAGAGGCCTCACATCCTGAAACATACACCCAGAACCAGCTCAGAAATCTCACATCCCAGACATATATATATACACATACACACACCTTAGCACAGCGGTTCTCAACCTGTGGGTCGAGACCCCTTTGGCGGTCGAACGACCCTTTCACAGGGGTCGCCTAAGACCATCCTGCATACCAGATATTTACATTATGATTCATAACAGTAACAACATGACAGTTATGAAGTAGCGACGAAAATAATTTTATGGTTGGGTCACAACATGAGGAACTGTATTTAAAGGGCCAGAAGGTTGAGAACCACTGCCTTAGCAGCTAAGAATTTCACTTCATGGCATATATCCCAGCAAACAAGTGAATGCTTGTGCCCTGGCTGGCATGGATCAGTGGTTAGAGCACCAGCCTGTGCACCAGAGGGTCTCGGGTTCGATTTCCAATCAAGGATACATACCTAGGTTGCAGGTTTGATCCCTGGCCCCAGTAGAGGTGCATGTAGGATGTGTCTCTCTCACATCTCTCTCTCTCTCTCTCCTCCTTCCCTCCCCCCCTCCTTTCCACTCTCTCTAAAAATCAATGGGAAAAATATCCTTGGGTGAGGATTAACAACAAAACAAAAAGTGCTTGCAAATATCTACATAAGATATCAGACATCCGACAACCTGGAACATACACCCACATACAGCTCAGACCTCACACTCTGGGATATACAGTCACACAACATGAGAGACCTCACACCTAGGACATGCATTGAGAAACAAATCAGACCACTCAGCTCCTGGGAAAACACCTGAAACAAAAATATCAGACTCTTCACATTATCAGACAAGTGCCCACGTGCAGATGAGGGGATTCCTACCATGGGACATACACCCTGCTTCACTCACCAGAAAACATGTCTCATGAATACCACAGGACAGACACAAACAAACAGGACAGGAAGCCTCACTTCCTGGGATATAAACTCAGAAATGGATCAGAGGTTTCAAGCAAAGGGAATATTCCCACAAAGAGCTCAGAATCCTTACACCCTGAACATACACACCTCAGCAGTTCAGAGAACTCATGTCCTGAGACCTGTACACAAAATCAGATCAGAGGCCTCCCCTCCTAGCACATACACCCCCAAACAGCTGGGCCCACAAATTCTGTGACACACACCATCAAAGAGATCAGAGACCTCACACCTGGTTCATACACCTGCAAACAGATCTAGGCCTCCCACCATCAGACACACACTCACAAACAAATGTGGAGTTCACCGTGGATATGCACCAATATACAGAGACATCACAACCTGGGACATTGTCTTCCTTCCTTCCTTTCTTCCTTCCTTTTTAGAAAAGAAGGTCACACTTATTCCATTTCTTAAAGGAGCAGACCTTTTATCTCCTCAGGGCTCTGGACTTGCTGCTGTAACAAATCACCACCATTTTACTGTCATAAAACAACACAAATTTATTATCTTACATTTCTGCAGGTCAGAAGACTGACAAGGAGTCTTACAAGGGTAAAAGTCAAGCTCTCTCTTGGGTCCTCGTTTCCAAGATGACCAAGAAAAGAAGGAATAATGGTCATGCCAAAAAAGGCTGTGGTCATGTGCAGCCTATTCATTGCACCAACTGCACCTGATGTGTGCCCAAGGATAAGGCCATTACGAAGTTCATCATTCGAAACATAGTAGAGGCCACAGCCATTAGGGACATCTCCAAAGCAAGGATCTTCAACGTCTATGTGCTTCCGAAGCTGTATGTGAAAGTACATGACTGTGTGAGCTGTGCCATTCACAGCAAGGTAGTAAGGAATCGCTCTCGTGAAGCCCGGAAGGACCAACCGGATTCAAACCTGCGGGTGCTGCCCCACCACTTTCACCAAAGCCCATGTAAGGAGGTAAGTCCTTGAGGACTGAAGAAAAGTTCTCTGGGGGAAAAATAAATGGAAATTGTACTTTAAAAAAAAGTCATGGTGTCATGTCAACAAAGTTGACTTCCTTCTGGAGTTCCTAGGAGAGAATCCAGTTCCTATAGGATACCTCCACTCCTGAGCTCATGGCCCCTTCCTCCACCTTTGAAATTAGTGTTTCATCTTCTAATCTCTTTCTCTCTGTATCCATCTATCTCGACCTCTATCTCTGCTTATATCATTACATCACCTTTTCTTTTTTTAACATATATTTTTATTGATTTCAGAGAGGAAGGGAGAGGGAGAGAGAGAAACATCAATGATGAGAGAGAATCATTGATCCGCTGCCTCTTGCATGCCCCCCTCCCCCGAACAGGGAAGAAGCCCACAACCCAGGTATGTGCCCTGATGGGGAATCAAACTGTGACCTCCTGGTCCATGGGTCAATGCTCAACCACTAAGCCACGCTGACAGGGCTCACATCACCTTTTCTTTTTTAAATACATATATATATATATATTTTATTGATTTATTACAGAGAGAAAGGGAGAGGGGCAGAGAGATAGAAACATCGATGAAAGAGAAACATCGATCAGCTGCCTCCTGCACACTCCCCACCGGGGATGTGCCCGCAACCAAGGTACATGCCCTTGACCGGAATCGAACCTGGAACCCTTGAGTCCACAGGCTGATGTTCTATCCACTGAGCCAAACCGGTCAGGGCTTAAATATATTTTTATTGCTTTCAGAGAGGAAGAAAGAGAGAGAGAGAGATAGAAACATCAATGATGAGAGAGAATCATGGCTGCCTCCTGCACGTCCCCTACTGGGGATTTCGCCCATAACCCGGGCATGTGCCCTTGACCAGAGTCGAACCCTGGACCCTTCAGTCCACAGGCTGATGCTCTATTCACTGAGCAAAACTGGCTAGGGCTTACATCACCTTTTCTAACACTACATCATGTTCTCTGACTCGCCTTCATTTCTCCCTCATACAAGGACACTTGGGATGACACTGGGCCCATTTAGATAATCTAGGAGAATTTCCTAATCTCAGGATGTTTTACTTAATCATGTCTGCAAAGTCTCTTTTCCATGTAAATTAACATAATCATATGTTCCAGGGATTAGGAAGTAGACACATTTGGGGTGCTATTATTCAGCCACCAGAGACATACATGCACGAACTGCTCACAGACCTCACATTCTGAGTCATATACTTTCAAATATAGGGTGTCCCAAAAATGTATATACACACTTTGAATAATTATAAAGGCAGTGTTTATTTTTCTTAATGTATTTATTTATTTATTTATGAGAGAGAGAGAGAGACAGAGAGAGAGAGAGAGAGAGGACGCACTGATTTGTTGTTCCACTCGTCCATGCATTCATTGGTTGCTTCTTGTATGTCTGGGGATCGAGCCCACAACCCGGGCATGTGCCCTTGACCGGAATCAAACCCGGGACCCTTCAGTCTGCAGGCTGATGCTCTATCCACTGAGCAACACCGGCCAGGGCGAAGGCAGTGTTTATTAAAATACATTTCATTTTCAAAATGGAGCTATCAGCTATTAAAGTGTGTATACATTTTTGGGGGGGATGAACACTTCCCACCTGCTAATATAAATTCAAAAAGAACAGACACACACACATTTTAGGACATATATAGCAAAAAAAGTCCTCAATCACTTGGAATTATACTTACAAAAACATAAGAGAACCCACCATCTGGGAAATATACACATAAATTGCAAAGCAAAATACATTTTAGACATAAACCCACAAACACATACCTCACAAACATGGACATGTAACAGCAAACTGAATAGACCTTACACCCTTGATAAACCCACACAAAGATATCAAACACGTACAGGTCAGAGACCTCACAACCTGAGATAGCTAGATACCTACAAACAAATCAGAGATCTCAAATCCAGCAATATACATCCATAATCAAGTCAGAGACCTCATATGCTAGGAAAAAGAGCCAGAAACTGATCATAGGCCTGAAATCTTGCAACAGGCACTCATTAAAAGATCAGAGAGTTTGTATTCTGGGATATACTCCCAAACAGGTTAAAGGTTTCAAACCAAGGGAAATGGAACACAAACCCAAAAAGACCTTGCAGACCTTACACAATGACACACACACACACACACACACACACACACACACACACACACACACACACAAATGAGATCTAACACCCAGGTTCATACAACCACAAACATATCAGAGAACTTATATTCTTGGCATACACCCATGAAAGACACCTCATACACTGATAATTATAGTGACAAGCAGATCAAATCCTGGGCCTATATCCACAAATGGATCAGACACCTCACACTCTGGGTCATACACCCGTGAACATATCAGAGATCTTCCATTCTGATGAATATACTCACAAACAGATCAGAGATCTCACATCCTGGGACACACTTGCAGAAACTACCCTAAAATTTTAGGACATACAGCCACAGACACCATGCAGACATTACACCTGGGAATTATAACCACAAAGAGATGAAAGACTTCAAATTCTTGCTACAGCTATGAAAAGATCAGACACCTTACACACAGAGACTTATTACTGGGAAGCACACCCAGAAACAGATCAGAGACTTCATACCCTGGGAAATATATGCACAAACAGGCCTTGACATACAGCAATGAAGACAGATACTAGTATCATAGTAGTATACAGCAACAACTGGACCATAGATCTCACACCCACAAACAGAGCAGAAACCTCACATCCTGGACACACACATACACACACACAGACCAGAGAACTTGCATCCTGGAATATATACCAACAACCAAATCAGAAATCTCTCATCCTGGAGAACAAACACCCAAACAGATCAGAGACCTCATAATCTCGGATACTACTCAAAGAGCTCAGATACCTCATACCTGGTACATGCATCCATGAACAGAGACCTCATATACTGCAACTTACAGCCACAAGCATATCAGGGACCCCACACTTTGGGGACATATACCCACAAAAAGCTCCCACAAAAAGCTCAGGAACCTTTCATCCTGGGATACACACCCATAAACAGTTCAGAAAGATGATGTCCTGGGACGCAGAATCCCCCATCCTCAAAATCATTAAAGCAATATCTGGACATAGACTCTCAAACCCCACAGAAACTTCTCTCTAAGGGACTCAGTGGCCCAAACTGCTCAGACACCTAACACCCTGGATGCAGACTCTGGTCACCTCAGTGATGTCTGGGACTTAGAAATCCATACAACTCACAGAAGGAACAAAACTCCTACAGGGTCCTCCAAAGAGTTCATGGCTGTGAAACCTGAGACAAAGACTTCCAAACAACTCAATGCCCCCACACCCAGAACACAGACTGCCAGAGATCTGAGACTTCAAAGCCTGGCCCCAAGGACAAAGTCTCTTAGAGACATCAGACCCTGGGATTAAGAATCCCAAATAGTTATGATCACATTCTGGACATGAACAGAGAACAGCCCAGAATTCCCACACTTGGGGACATAGAACCCCAAACAGTTAAAATATCTAAAAACCTAGAGATCTAAAAATGTGAAACAGCTCTGGTAGGTATGGCTCAGTTGGTTAGAGTGTTGTCCGGTGCACCTAAGGGTTGCAGGTTCTTAGGTTCAATTCCCAATCAGGGCACATGCCCAGTTTCCATCCACCAGTTGGGGTGCGTCCTGGGTGGGAGGTGGGATAGGAGACCCATGGATATTTCTCTCGAGTCAATGTTTTTTTTTCTCTCTCTCCCTCTCCTTTCCTCTCTCCCTTTACAATCAATAAAAATATGTTGCCCAGCTGGTGTGGCTCAGTGGTTGAGCATTGACCTATGAACCAGGAGTTCATGGTTCAATTCCCGGTCAGGGCACATACCCGGGTTGCAGGCTCGATCCCCCAGTAGAGGGTGTGCAGGAAGCAGCTGATCAATTTCTCTCTCATCATTGATGTTTCTATCTCTCTCTCCCGCTCCGAATCAGTAAAAAAATATTTTAAAAAAATGTCCTCAGGTGAGGATTAAAAAAATCCTATATAATAAAAGCCTAATATGCTAAGTGTTCGGTCCTCTGGTCATCCGTTCAACCAATCAAAGCATAATATGCTAATGATATGCTAAGGCCACTCAACTGCTCACTATGAGGTGCACTGACCACCAGGGGGCAGACGCTCCGACCAGTAGATTAGCTTGCTGCTGGGGTCTGGCAGATCGGGACTGAGCTATATGGGCCGGACACACCCTGGAGCCCTCCCACAGTCCCTCTCTGGCTAGCCAACCTCCCACATTCCTCCCCAGCCCTGATCATGCACTGGTGGGGTCCCTAGGCCTCGCCTGTACACTCTCGCAATCTGGGACCCCTTAGGGCAGTGGTTCTCAACCTGTGGGTCGCGACCCCTTTGGCGGTCGAACGACCCTTTCACAGGGATCGCCTAAGACCATCCTGCATACCAGATATTTACATTACGATTCATAACAGTAGCAACATTACAGTTATGAAGTAGCAACGAAAATAATTTTATGGTTGGGTCACAACATGAGGAACTGTATTTAAAGGGCCAGAAGGTTGAGAACCACTGCCTTAGGGGATGCCAGAGAGCCAGTTTCAGCCTGATCCTGCAGGCCAGGTCGAGGGATCCCACTGGTGCACGATTTCGTGCACCGGGCCTCTAGTAATTAATAAAAAAGTGAAACAGAGTGCCCAAAATACCCCTATGTGGATACAGGTCACAAAAAGCTCAGAAATATCAAACCCTGGACAGAGACTCACAAAGACTCCAGAACACCACAAATTACCCTAAAAGGGAGCAGCTTAGTGCTGGCTTTTGGCTGGGATGCGTCAGTTCTGTGATCCATGGATCTCTCCATGGGCTGCTTGAGTGTCCTCATAATTTGTAAAGGGTGTCGCAAGATTTGAATTTAATGGTGCTCGCTATCGAGACATGATAATCCAGTTTTTTGTGCCTAAATTGCAAGATATGGATGTGGACGACATGTGGTTTCAACAAGACGGTGCCACATGCCATACACCCCGAGAAACA